GGTGAGGGACAATTTTGGTACCAAAGTGAAAAGTTGAGGGACCAAAATGGTACTTAAACCACAATGTAATGAAGACGTCGGTGGCCACTGTAACTGCAAATTTCCAAATGGTGACACTGTATCCGGAATTATATGTAGGCCCTAATAATGCTACGGTGAAGCTGATGGCGGCGAATAAATCCACATTGCCACCCTTAATTAGTGCGATGAAGGTGTTTACAAGGGTTTGTCCTGACCCGATCCCAGATCCCTCTGGCAGTGCTCCGAAGAATTTCATCTTTATCGGTATTATTTTGATTCCTGCTATGTTTCACGTTATGATGTCGTTGGCTATTTGAATAAATTGATATATGTAAGTCATGATATCCGTGTTGGGAATTTTGAGTACTACAATTTCATGCAAACGGAAGCGATAAAAAAATTGAAATAATAATTTAACGTGGTTCGACTTGTATACCTCTCGACAAGTCTACATTCACGAGAAAGAGAGAAATAAATCTACTATTAAAAAATAAAGTACAATAATTTAAAAACCCTCTCAACACCCTAATTTCAATATATAGAAACTCTTAAATTCTCCATAATACTCTCTCTTAATTTACACAAGAATTTCTCACAATTTTTTTCTTTCTTTTCTCTCACAAGAGCTCTCACTCAATTTCTCTGGCTTTCTCCTACTCTTGCTTGTCCATTGCCTTTACATGCATGGGTATTTATAGTGAGAAATACAACCACCCATGTACCATTTTTTTTTTTTGCCTCATTGCCACCTGTCCAAGATTTTCTTTGCTCATTAAATGGGTTAATATGCAATCTTGAAAGATTTTAACAAAGCAATCTAGCTCATGATTGGCTTATAAGCCGGTGAAGCAAACTTCCACATAAAAAATCCATGTGTTCTTGCTTCAATGCTGGGCAAGGAAAGACATGGATATTTCTTTTATTATCATATGTTTGGTGCGGAAATAAATGATACAATTTGGTTTTTCCTATCAATCAAAATAATAATAATAATAATGATAATAATAATAAAATGTTCTTGTGCACTAAACAAACATGTAGAACTACTAGTGAAACAAAGAACGATGCGATAAAGGAAAACTTATCTGGACTGAACTAATATGGGCCTAACGTAGATATAACACCTATTGGCCCAACTTACGACCCTAACAAATAACAATGGACTCCGATAAGTAAACCAGGAAAGTAAGCAGGGTATTCTGAGAATGGATAATATTAATTAATAATAATTTTATAATAATAATTGTATTAAAAATAAACATTACGCCGTACTAAATTACAGTAGTAATTCTTACTAATAGTTAATACCCATACTAATAATTATAAAATTTTTCAATAGATTGTTGATTCTAATTTTATTGTTACATGTAGTAATACCTATTATTACCAGACTAGAAGTTAAAATCTTGAATTGGTAGAACAGTTGACTTAATTACAATAAGAGTATCCAACGAATGTAAAGAGGGTGTGGTGTGGCTAACACTTTTCTAATTTTTATTTTAAAAGATTAAATAAAAATATGACACGGGATTGATTCCAAATGATGAAGAATTGATGAAATGTTTCCAATTAATTTTAGGTCCCTTTGAGAAGTTCATCTGGAGTTGTTCAAAGATGGGAAAGATAAGTTGATCAGAAATGGAAATGCCTAATTTTACTTGTAGTCCTTTTTTTTTTTTTTTGGAACGTTCAATTAATCATCTGAATAATTGATTTGAGAAGAAGAATGCCATTTGATGAAGTAAAAGTAATATAAAAAGAATTTTTTATTGTGATTTTCAAACTTGTGCCTTCAGTACACAAATTAAAGATTCCCAATATAAAATGATACAATAAATTTCTGGGATAATTGATATTGTTGCAGCTTAGGTAGCAAGATCCAACATTAATGATACAAAATTTCATGGAAGATAATATATATTCTTTTGCTTAAAAAAAAAAAAAAAAGGACATTGCCTTCCTCCATAATACATACCACGTGATTCACGTCTTCTTATATCTCAATCTGCAACTCTGGCCCCTGTATAAAGAGATGATATCTCAAGGTCTCAAAGTAGTGGATTTTACTGGGCTTTAAAATAGAGAGAGTCAATTTTCGAATCAATAGCAAAATGCCTTCGTCACTGGCTGTCAGCGAGGTCCAGGTTGAGACCGTTACATTCCCGCCGTCCGTCAAACCGCCAGGATCAACCAAATATCTTTTTCTCGGTGGCGCAGGTTATTAGTGACACACCAACAATCAATGCACTGTTTGATATGATCATCTCATGCATGTTCTTTTTTATTGACTTTAACTTGACCAGGGGTAAGAATAGGGCCGTACCAAGGCAAGCTGGACAAAGTCACCGCCATTGGAGTGTACCTTGAAGACACTGCCGTACCGTCACTCGCCGATAAGTGGCGCGGAAAGACTGCTGCTGAGTTGACTGAATCCAATGAATTCTTTAAAAATGTTGTTACAGGTAATACTTACCACTATTTTAAGATTAGTAGTTTATTTTTATTTTTTATTTTAAATTATATAATAAAAAATAATTACTTATTTTTTTAATTATTTAATATATTTTATTCATGTATCATAGAATTCAAATTTAAAACTTTTATTAAAAAGATATTATTATTATTTATTCATAATTATATCTCTGTTAAACTAAAATTAGAAGTTAAAATTTTGAATTTGTATAATACGTAACTTAATTTTAATAAGAGTAGTATCCAAAGAATGTAAAGAGGGTATGGTTAATCCTTTTCTCATTTTTATTTTAAAAGATTTAAGTAAAAATATGACACGGGAATCTAAATGATGAAGAATTGATGAAATGATTCCGATTAATTTTAGGTCCCTTTGAGAAGTTCATACGGGTGACTTTGATCTTGACATTAACCGGACAAGAATACTCTGAGAAGGTCATGGAGAACTCTCTGGCCATTTTGAAATCTGCTGGAAATTACAGCGACACAGAAGCCAAAGCTGTTGAGAAATTCATTGAAGTCTTCAAGGATGAAAACCACCCACCAGGGTCGTTAATTCTTTTCACTGTATCTCCCTATGGGAATGGAACACTAAAGGTGAGTAGAAGAAATTAATTCCAAAAAACCAATTTGATAATTTGTCATTTTGTTGAGAATTTGAATACAAGAGTACTACTTAATGTTTCATTGGGTCAAGCAGATTGGATTTTCCGAAGATGGTTCCATCCCGGAAGTTGTGAATGCAGTGATAGAGAATAAACTACTAGGTGAGGCTGTTCTGGAGTCGATTATTGGGGAGCATGGTGTTTCCCCTGCAGCAAGAAAGAGCTTGGCGGAGAGACTTCCGGAGTTGTTCAAAGATGGGGAAGATAAATTGACCGGAAATGGAAATGCCTAATTTTACTAGTCGTTTTCTATCCTGGAGAAATCATCTATTAATCTATCTGAATAATTGATTTCACGAGAAGGATGTCATCTGATGACGTAGAAGTAATATGAAATTTACATGTTTTCATGTTTAAACATGAATAAAATTATATATTAGCAATTTAAATAATTCTTTAACAACATTTTTTTTATTGGAAATAAGTTTTTTTTATAAAATATAAAAGATCTTAAATTCAAGTTGTATGATAGATAAGTATGATAAACTAAGAAATAAAAAAAATTTTCCTCACATTATACAAACCCAAAATAAAATAAATTATGTTTTTGAACTTGGTTGCAGGAGTTTCCAGCAAATCTTCCTCATTTGCTAAAAACCATTATATATCAATCAGGCTACAAACTTTTTAACTATCAAGGTTATTATTGTCAAATGAATTAGATGGTTTATCCTTGCCATTAAAGAAGTACATAACAAAATGCTTAATGCCTAATTCCAGGAAGTAT